CTCCCCACTGTGTAAGTCAAATTTGCTGCCCACTTTAAGATGCCAGCAGCATCTTGCTTTCGGTTTCTGGCTGTCTCTGTAGAATGCCCAACACTTACAGGCTAGGGAGGGAGGCATTCAGACTCGTCTTTCCTAAATAAGTCACTCCTTCTTCTATAAAGGAGTTAATAGATTCATAGATTCTAAAGCCAGAGTGGAGCACTGTGATCATCTAGTCCAGGGATTGGCAACCTTTGGCCCGCGGCCCGCCAGGGAAATCCCCTGGCGGGCTGGGACGGTTTGTTTACCTGCAGCGTCCGCAGGTTCAGCTGATCGCAGCTCCCACTGGCTAAGGTTTGCCGTGCCAGGCCAATGAGGGCTGTTGGAAGCGGCCGCTGTTTCCCGCAGCACCCATTGGCCTGGCACGGCGAGACCCATACCAGCAGTTCCATTCTTTTGTCTGGGACTGAAGTTTGGCAGAGTTGCAACATCAGGTTAAAAGCCAGTTGAATTTCACATGCCTAGACCAGAGTTGAATGGCCCTCTAACACTAGTAAGTAAGCTCCGTCATTAACCCAGATCTGCCACTTAAACATGAGCCTTCAAAATCTTAAAGTTGGTTATTTATTTCTTAAGATCAATGAATTAAAAAAACAAAACAAAACAAAAAATCACCATACAATACAAAGGTTAATATCAGAAAGTAGCCTTTTTGTTACAGTTTGGTCATAAAATACAGTATAAATAATAGCATGTTACATTAAAATAACATTTTAGATTGCTACACAGGGGGATTTCACATCCCACTCCCTTCCCTTTGCCAGAGTAACTATTACAAATTAGCCTCTGAGACACTCTTAACATTCATTATTTCTGGCACACAACAGGCCACATAAAATAAAGCACATACAAATTCTGTATTTAAAAAAAAAAAAAGTGCACTTTTTGTATTTTCACCACAAGTACATGTCAAATTGCACAGCTTAAGGGATTCTTGAGCACAAAGCCAGGACATCAGAATGAGATTTTTGGATTGGCTATTTAGCTGCTTAAAAAAAATCCAGACTACAACAGACACACTTGTTCAGCTGTCGTTTCATAATGGGAAATAATTGTAAGCAATACCATTTTTCCCTAACAGAATTACCATACAATTCCATAATCACCAAAATAATACTCAAATGTATATTGCACCCACAAACTCTGCGCTGTCATGCTGTGTAAATGTGTCTCCTCTTCATGAAGGGTGTATGCTCTGGTAATCAGACAGGCTAAAGGACCTTCCGTTTAAATCTGTAACACAAATTGTGTGCAGTTGTAACACACTTTTCTTTTGTGTTTTGCTATACATTTGCTGCTATAAATGAAAAGCTATTTGCTAACCCCTCCCAGATGAACCTTCTGTTTAGTTCAATTTTTAAAGGGCGAAGTCATTGAAGCGAAATCTCATGCACTTTACAAAAAGGCAAGATCAGCAGAGCATTAAAACACTGAGTGCTGGACCTTTGATGATAAAGTCTTGTCTAGGGGATATTTCTGACTAGTATAATGACACTAGAAATCTGATTTCACACGCTGACAAAATGGATGACACTGTCAAGAACACTGCAAAGGTAAATGAAAGCTTAAAATTACATTTAAAGAGGTTGCCGGGCGAAATCTCATTAGACTCGAGTCACTTAGAATCCATGCTAGCATTTCACATCTGTGGGTTCTAAGGCTTCTTTGAGTGGAAATGAGCATTGCACATCGCTAGTAGGAAATTCACATAGATCCAGCATCTCACAGACGCTCTCTCTCCTCTGTCCCTACATATAATTTAGAAGTAAACAAGTATATGAAACAAAAATAAGGATGAGTGAATTAATTATGCCCAATGTCAAGCCCACTCCAACTTTATCAGTTTTAGAGTTCAGTTCATTCCCAAACCTTCTTAGGTTAGCAGAGACTGTGGTTAAAAAGGATCAGAAAGGGAAACAGAGAAAAATTCTAATAAAGATTATTTGTATGTACTATGAAGTCTGTACCATTTTCTTGCAGCAACCAGTGTTCTTCTCTCTGTAATACACAGCACGGGCTTCTCTTTAGCTAGAAAAATACGAGTACGTGTTTTAAATTGAGTGCTTGAAACCGCCTGCTCACACCCATGAGTTTCTGAATATGCCAGAACTTTGGGGTCTGAAATTATGTTCCAAACTGGAACCTCCCCTTGTTTCCAGACATCCAGATTTGGCCAGTTGAAAAAGATTTGGGCTAAAATTGCAAATCAGGACTTTTGCTTTAGGCCCATCTCTGTTTTAGAATGCAGGAACAAAGGTTTGTGAACCAGAAAAACGTTTGGGCAAGTTCACAAAATCTTTTATCTCCTCAAGGTTAGTCCGTCCCTACTAAGAATCCATAAAGGTTTGTCCCAATGTCTTTGTTTTCAGTTGAGGTCTTTCCTATTTTCGTGCCAAATCAAAGATAAACCTATCAGCTGCTCAGAATTACAAGGATATCTGGGTATATCTCACTTAATCGTTTTCCTGTCTTGGGCACAGGTGCACCTCAGTCCCTCCTATTCTCTGCGTGTGGCACATAATAGTCTAGTCTTCTGTGGGCTGTATTATTTTGGTCTAATTTCAGCTGTTGGGGTTAGTGTGCAGGTGCCAGCTGGTGTTGGTGGCCTGTAGTATACAGGAGGTCAGACAAGAAGACCTGGTGGTCCCATCTGGCTTTAAACTCTATGATGCTATAACAATATTCTCAGTGCTGCTGTAACCCACTAGAGAAAAACTAGGACAAACATCTCAGGTGAGACTGATTTTCATGCCGTGCTTTTATTCTCCCTACCGATTGAAGAATGGATAATCAAGCACGTTTTGGCAGGTTGGTATTTACCAGGATTATTAATGACATTTAACATCTCAAGAATGATTTGGTGCAGGGTCGGAGTTTCAAATGCATCTGAGTTAGGATGATGAGTCCCACTGAATGTCGACTGGACTTATTCTCCTAACTTCCCTAGGCGCTTTTGAAACCGCACCCTTAAACTGTGCAGCTCCTGTGAGAGGTGTAGTTAAAACAATCCTGAGGCCACTCCCAGGATCAGAAATATGGGCTCTTGTCCACTAGGCCCAGAGTTCAGTGTATGAGGTTGTGACTCATCTTCCCTCTACTCAAACAATGTAATAGGGAGGGCAGGTTTTAGATCTGCAGGCTGAGTTTGGTGAGACTCTGCGGGGAATATGGCCACAGCCAGTGTGCACAGTACTTGTTGTCGTTCAAGTTATTTCTGCAGAGCTCTTAATCAGCTGGAAGCAGCTTCTAAGCCACGATGCTGGCATGGCTGCAACACATCCTGCTATGTATTATCTCTGCCTATCCCTGGGGTAAGGCCCAGATGCAGGCCTGGTGACATTCTGTCTACCGACACTGTCTGTTAACGTCAATGGGAGTTCGATGGTAGCTACATTTCCATGTTCTGTGCTGATTGCTGAAATTACAGAATTATTTTTGTCTGTGTTAATTTTTTTCTAAGCATTCAAGGTGAAAAGGCCGATCAACTACAGGGATAGAATTCTAGTCCATGAAATGATACAGATAGTCAAACAGTAGGAATCCTGCTTGGATCCTGACCTGCAACTTCTTCAGCCTGGACTTAAACAGGCCTCTTTTATGGGAGCAAATAATATCTTACTGCCAGTTATTTCTGGGTGCAATTTAGGCCCTTTAGACATTAAATTACCTGCTTTGGTAGCATAAGTGATTTAAATTGTTCAGGCAGCCAGAATTATTTGCAACTCGAAGGCCCAGTTAGGCTGAAAATTTGGTTCATTAGGCTCATTTCTGATCTGAAACAGACAAGTATTCGTTACTGTGTGACTTGAAAATACTGTTACAGAATCCAACAGGGCAACGGTTGCTTATCACTTTGGCTTATAACCATCTATAACACCTTCTACTGATGTCTAACACATACTGCTCATGTCTGTAACATGCTTATAAAATCTGTTGATTATTCATAAACCATTTATAAATGAAACCTTTATGTAAAGTGAAACCACCCTATCTTTTGGTTTTTCTAGGTAAATTTAATAAGTTATGTTTCTAACTAGATAGAAGCCCACTGTATGCAAAATAAAGATGCTCATTAAAGAGTAATTTTTGCACTGCTTCTGGGATTACCATGGGAATCAAATAAAAAACAAACAAACCACAAAATAGAGCAGAGCTCACATTTTGGCAGAGTCAAATGAAACTAAACCCACAAAAATTTCCATTCTAAACTTAGAACCCTTGATTTTCAAGTGGATTTGTATAGCGATAATTTAATAGCCTTTTGATAGCTATGATTTGCAGCTGTGCATGCATGAACTCTGTCACCTAAACCTTATGGGACTTAATCCACAGGACACTAGTCCTGTACTAGAAAAATTCACTGGTGGTCAGAGTATTGGCAACTGACCATTATCAATCAGGTGGGAAGTTTAACTGGGAAAAAGAGACTAATTTTCGGGAAACCTTTTGGCTCTGTAAAGTTAAAACGGTAAGCCTCTTTCATTTAACAGTTAATATTGTAACCAGCTGGCTAGTATATCTATGTGTGTAACTCTGCCATTTACTCAGCGGAGTCAGAGCTGTTCAGCTGTGTGTCATAGCCCCAGCACTGCTATGAGCTACTGGAGATTCTATTTTATTTCAGAGGATAGGGGATTATGCTTTTGAAGCAGAAGGACATAAATTCTGTCCTCCCTGACAGAGGAAATTCTGAGTGGCCATGGTGTGCCAGCATAGCAGCAACTGTTACCACCAAGAAATAATAGTTCCTAGGTGACACTGGACTAGTTCAAGAATTAACCTTGCTTGGCATACCAGACACCCAGTCTTCCTTTTTCTACGATATGTGACCCACTCATTTTTTAGAACAAATCTGCAATTTACTTCCTTCTTATAGCCCATTCAAATCAACACAATTATTCTAAGCACCACTTACTGACGATCAAAACTTTGCACTGATTTCCCTAAGATTTAACTTTGTCTGACTGGAATTATTGGTCTGCTGGTCAGGTTTCTGATATAACCATTTGCCCAGGAGACATGATAGCAACACCTGGCAATGTAAGTCAATTTGACTATGTGCAGGTGGGCCTGGACACTATTGTGTTAACTTGTGCATAGGTATATACTAGAATATGATGTGGCTGATCACAAGAGCTTGGCACACGTTGCACAAACCCTTGTGCTGGTTCCATTTCACTCAGCTCACCAGTGTAATAGCAGAGGTACTTCTTTAGTTTATTATGTGGGGCCTGTGTTTTTGGTGTATTTTCTTGCATTAGATGGTTGGCTGGTAGAGATGGGAGCATTAATTCAAAGCCTAAAGCTACACAGCCCATTCGGATAAAAGGTTTGCAAATCCAAATCTAGGGTTAGATCTGATCCAAGTCCCACTTTTCATCCGGTCATAGCTTTGGTTTGCTGCCTGCATGCAGCCATGGTTGAATACAGATTAGCTCCTCCCAGCTGGGCTGAACTCTTGTATTAAGCACTCATTTAACGAAGAGGATTTATGCCACATAATGGTTTGTATGTACGCACCTTCTGTTGGAACATGACTGACTGTAATAGAGACAGGCAACTCCTGAGCATCTCTTTGTGGCCAGAGGTCACTCTGTGGTGTCTGGCTACCAACTTCTCCCCTATTCAGGGCCCCTTAATAACTCACCATCAACAGGTAATTACAACATTCCCCTCCTGGGGACCCATTTATTGAGTCGTTACATACTGGACCTCCTGGTCCCAACATCAATTCAGTCACACTCTGCTAGTCAGGGTCTCTCGTAGGAGCTAAGCCCCATACTCCCAGGCTTTACCTGACTCAACCTCAGCCCCCTGGTTCTGGCTTCCAGGCCCAAACCCTTCTCTCAGTCAGGGCCCCTACCAGGAGCCTCTGGATTACTGCCTCTCCTCTTTGTTGCAGCTCCCTTAGTTTCAGAGTCTTCCTTGCAGAAACCTTTCACTCGCTGCCATTCCCTCCACTCCTCTTTCTACTTCATTGTGCCCTCTTGCTGCTCTTTATAAGGCAGTCACCCTAATCACTCCCAGGAGTGGCTCGTTCTGTAATCAGGGTTGGCTAGCTCCAGCCCTTAAGAGGCAAACCATCCTATTACACTGGCCTATTCAGACCCAACAGTTCTGTCTGCTGCACCTCTAGTCTGTCAAGAAGGGGCCTGGTTTTGGAACTGGGAATCCTGAATTTAAATCATCTTGTTTTCTGTTTATTCTTCAGGTGTGTTGTCTGCGGCTAGAGATTGGTAAAGACACCAGTTAAAAAATGACAGGAAATACAGATCATTAGGTCACAGAAAAAGAAAATTGCACTAGAGTCTTTTGTGGCCCTTGTACCTCGGACTTGAGCTTGCCCTTTGGGATATCAGCAAACTCTCTAATAAAACATCTGCAAATTGAGAAAAACTGGAATAAGAATGGCTAAGAAATCAATTATCTGTGCCCTGCAGAATTCATGCAGGTTGCTCTATGCCTCTCCTTCATCCATTAGCAGCCCTCGCTCATCATGGTCCAGGCATGTGCTCACCTCTTGATATGGCTCAACTAACTTTTTACCTTTTTTCAGTGGTAAAAATGGGATTTGGTTATGAAGCAAATGTAAGATTGCCCTCTTATTTGTTTTTAACAATAAGAGTTGCCTCAATTTAAGCATTCTAGACTTTGTCATTATTATTATTATTATGTATTATTTTATGTATTTGTGTGATGATCTTGCTGAAAGGATCCAAGAGGTATCGAGGCCCCATTGTGCTAGGCACAACACACACCCCTAACAAAAAGATGATCCTTGCCCCCTAAGAGCACTGAATGGTGTTTTCCAAGGTGCCATCCTAATCTAGGTAAGGCATTATCGTCATTTTATTATTTAATTTAGGGACACTACATTGGCTCTCCTGGACATTCTGGTCTAATTAATCAGAATGAGTTCTATAAATAACCACCTTGCTCCCTGAGTGCTATATTCCCTATTGATTCCATTATTTCCATTTCTCTTTCTTTTATCACCTCTCGGATTACTACTCCCCCCCTCAAAAAATATCCCTGTTCACTCAAAACTGCCTTGCTCCTCATTAAAGTCTCAGCTCAGTGCCACCAAGAGAAACAATGTTGAGCTCTTCGACTTTAGCACGGCATCTCTGCACGGAGAAAAGGACGAAGCACGATATGAGTTGCCTAAGCTTGACATTTATAGGCTGAAGAAGTGCTGTGGCTTCCCAGATAACACTGCATTGGAATCTATGCCATACCGAAGTTACAAAATGCGTAGACATTATTCACAAGAGGCAAGGCTGATGCTTTAAAATAACCCCAAAGTTACTGGCAGAACGAAGCCTATTTGTTCCAACAAAAATGAGACTGCTAAACACATTCGTGTTATGGTGAATTTAGAGACCATGCATTAAGGTCCCAGAGGTCTCTCTCACGTCCTAAATCCATGTTGAAACACATTCTCCCTTCCTTTGGCTTCACTCGGGGCTCAGTATGTCGTTTCCCTGGTGACTTGGCTGGAAAACGTATGGTTGCTAGAGATGCTGTTGGACTTCCTGGTGAAGCTGGGTCTCTTTTTCTTCTTTCTCCATGGCAGGCACAGGAACATGAGCGTGGAGAGGAAGATCTGGCGGAAGTTTGCGGACACCAGGTTGTAGAGGATGGGGTTGATGGCAGAACTGACGTAGAAGAGGACGTTTGTCAACATGTAGAAGTAGTGGTAGAAATTATAAAGGAACCTGATGGAATAGAACAAGAAGAGAGTGGAAATATGAGTGGGGGAGGAGAGTATGAATAACTTACAATTGCAGGGTTGGAGAAAATGGAAGCCAGATTTTCAGGGGATTGCCTTACTAGATATCAAATGTGGTCCATCTAGTCCAGGGATCGGCAACCTTTGGCACGCGGCCCACCAGGGTAAGCCCCGGCGCGCTGGGCCGGTTTGTTTACTTGCTGCGTCCGCAGGTTCAGCCGATCACAGCTCCCACTGGCCGCGGTTCGCCGTCCCAGGCCAATGGGGGCTGCGAGAAGCGGCGCGGGCCAAGGGATGTGCTGGCCGCCGCTTCCCGCAGCCCCCATTGGCCTGGGACAGCGAACCGTGGTCAGTGGGAGCCATGATCGGCTGAACCTGCGGACGCGGCAAGTAAACAAACCGGCCCGGCTCGCCAGGGCGCTTATCCTGGCGAGCCGCGTGCCAAAGGTTGCCGATCCCCGATCTAGTCCAACAGTGGCCAGCACCCGATACTTCAGAGGAACGTTAAAACCCCTCAAAAACACTAACAGTAGATAGATGTGGGATAATCACCCCTCACAAACATCTTAATCTAATCCCCTAATACTTAGAAATTGCTTTAAACTTTGAAGCATGTGATTTTTATATCCCACCAAGATTTGCCTTGTCTATAGACACACTTTAATTAAAAAAACTAAATTGAAACGTTGCCCTACATGATGCACAAATATATCCACGTTTACCACAAAGGCTGCTTAAGTGGGGTTGTCTACACTGCAGTATCTATGGCAGAGCTAAGACATCATAATGTATGCTGTCACCTCCTCTCTCAAGCCCATGAGAACTGCATCAACGCATTGAGTCGGTCTCTGTGGTAGAATGAATATATATTTTGAGGAGATATTCATTTTATGGTTGACAATAACAGGATTTTTCAGTGAATTCTGGACATGAAAAGTACAAAAGAGAGTTTGAGGGTTACAAAATAGAGCTGGTTGAAATTTTTCAGTCCCAACGGTTTTTTCAATGAAAAATGGCCTTTTTTGGAAACAAACATTTTTGTGCATCGTTAGAAGATTTCCAGATTTTCATTGAAAGGCTCCAAATCTTTCAGTTTTCAAAACTGAAGAAATGTTTGCTTTTTGGTTGTTTTCAGTTTTCAGCTACTGGAAAATATTCAGTTGTTGGTTGTTTTCAGATTTTGAAAACCAGAACATCTTTAGTTTTTCATTAAAAAGCTAGAAAATTTCCATGAGTGTTTTTTTTTAGGGGTAGGGCAGGAGGAGAGGGGGAGAGTTTTATTTTTTTCAAAAAATGTTTGCGGAAAATATTTAGTGTTTTCTCTCCACCTCTGTTAAAACAAAGCTCTACATAAGGATCCTGATTCAAAGCCCATCGAAGTCAACAGAATGATTCCTATTGACTTCAATGGACATTGGACGTGGTTCTTGGGAACAACTTTGCTATTTGATGAGGAGCTTGTATCACTGTAATAACATATCTAGAGTTGGTCAATATTTTTTGCACAATTCGTTTTTCATTTTTTTAAAATGGCCTTTTTCTGAAAATGAACCTTTTTGCTGAAAAATTGACAGATTTTTTTAAATTTTTTCCTCAGCATTTCTCATCAATATCTTCGCCGACTTTTTTAACAAGTGATTTTCAAAATCATTCTTGAAAAATTTCATTGACCAAACCCCCACTTTTCAGCAAGTCAAAATTTTCGATGATGATTTTAAAATTACTTTTGATAAAAATGTCAGTAAGGAATATCATGAGAAATTTCACAAAAAACAGAAGATGAGTCCATTTCAAACCTGAAATGTCAGACACTTTAGTTTGCAGTTGTAGCCCTGTCAGTCCCAGAGTAGGAAAGACAAGGTAATATCTTTTGATGGAGTAACTTCTGTTGGTGGAACAGACAAGCTTTCCTGCTGCACAGACCTGAAGAAGAGGTCTGTGCAGCTTGAAAGCTTGTTACTTTCACCAACAGACCGTTGGTTCTTAAAAGATATTACCTCACCAAACTTCTTAGTGAAATTGTCAGCCTGTTTTTCAACCAGGTCTAACTATAACCCATACAGGAGTTCCATCCTGTTCCTATTTTAGTCAACTGCAAAACTTCCATTGCTTATAGGTATGTAGGAACCAGACTATGGCCAGGAACTCATCAACTTGATAACAAAAGGATGGTTTTTAGTGTGATGTGCAGACACCACCAGGGTAGAAGGCACAGGAATCTCTACAGACTGAAGAACTGTGTATAAGATACTGCAACTGCCTTCTCTAATTGCTTATGAGAGTTGTCATAGGTATATGCCAAGCTTTGTAAAGTCAGGACAGTTATTTTTAGTGGTGTGGGAGGTTGTGCATCATTCTAAGGCTGGCAGCATGAGAGCATGAATCCTGATTATAGGGTTTTGCTCTGTGCAAAAGGTTTTTAAGGATTAAGACACACAGACCTTCAGAGAAAATCGCAATCTATTGCAGAACCCACGTCAGTGTCTCTGATTTAATGGCTACAAAGTGCTAGGATATGGCGGCAGCTGAAAGCAGCCAGAGGTGCACTTGTTTGGGAAAGTGCACACCTTCCAGACTAAACGAGCTTGTCACTTAGCCCCTGATGGTGTCAATAATTATAAAGAAAATGTGAAATTCTAGTAGCTTGCAGTGCAGGTGCCCATTATTCTTGCCAAAGGAAGTACTGTGAAAGTAAATATCCTTTCAAGCAGTTCCTTTCTAAATGTTCTTAAAGATCAACAAATGTTAACTTTGGTCTAGTCAGTCGTCTTAACACACTTTAACAGTTTCTTTACTGTGGTTTATCCCTACAGCAAGGTACAAGATTTCTGACGCATACACACAGAAAATCTTCACCGGTTCCTGTTCACTGAGGACACCATTTTCAAGTGACTGGCGATTTTAGGTGCTTTAACTTTTGATTGCCCAACCTGAGACATCGAAAAGGGACCTGCCTCAAGGCAGGTACTCACAAACAAGTCTCTTCTGGAAAAATCTTGGTCTCTAAAATCACAAATGCTGGCTGGGGTCATACTTTATATTGATTCCCTTTATAAAGAGGTTAATAAATGATTAATAGATGTTTTAACAAATGAATAATCAATGGTTGTAGATTGCCATAGAGACCAGCAGGTCAATAGGTTGCTTATAACCATCTATAACACTTTCTACTGATGTGCTTATAACCATCTATAACAAATACTACTCATGTCTATAACTTGCTTATAACGTCTATTAATCATTTATTAACCATTTATAAACAGCAATTTAATATGAAGTGAGAGTCTCTGCCTTGTTTTTCATTTGTTTCTGTAAATATTAACTGGAAAAGGACCCTGGTTCATCTCAGACTAGGTTCCTCTTTAGAGCTGGTTTCAGGCTGCTCCAGGGAAAAGGATGGATGTATTTAGACAAGCACCATTCGATCATTCCCACAATAAACTGAATATCAAGATCATCTGAATTAAAGGCACAGCCATCGTGCTGGGCGAATGCCACCAGGGTGCAAGCCAGGTTAGAAGAATGGTTGGGATGGTTGGGTGATGCGTTCTGATAGAGTGGAGTGATTCTTGTGGAGCAGGGGAATAATCTGACGAGAGACAGCATTTTCAGTAGGAAGGGTGCAACCGCTGGACTAAAATCCCTGGATTACTATTTGTGAGTGGGTAGAATTCATAGGCATAAATGGCTACATTACACTACGAGTGAGGGGTGTGATTCCCTTGCTCGTGTACCCATGCTTGCACTAGCTCAGTGACAGCTAGCATGAGCAGCGCCGTATTATTGCCTAGGCTGACAAGGCCTAGGCCTAGGGCGGCAAATTTGCAAGGGGGGAAGCTCCCCTCTGTGCCCCGCCCCCCTGCTCCAGCTCACCTCCACCTCCTCTGCAAGCGCGCCGCCGCGTCCTGTTTCTCTCCCCTCCCAGCGCTTGCGCCGCGAAACAGCTGTTTCGCGGGGCAGGGAGGGAGGGCGGAGGAGGGGGAACGCCGCGCGCTGGGGGAAGAGGCGGGGCCGGGGGCAGGGATTTGGGGAAGGGATCCAATAGGGGAAGGGAGGAGGCGGAGTTGGGGCAGAGACTTTGGGGAGGGGGTTGGAATGGGGGCGGGAAAAGGGCGGAGTCGGGGCGGGGCCAGGGCAGCAATTGTTTCCCAGCCTAGGGGCGGCAAAATTATTAATCCGCCACTGAGCGTGAGTATAAATAGCAGTGTAGCTACAGTCGCATGGGTAGCGGCAGCGGAGCGAATACATACCTACTGGGTTCAGAAAGGTTTGTACTCAGCACGGCTCAATCATAGAATCATAGACTATCAGGGTTGGAAGGGACCTCAGGAGGTCATCTAGTCCAACCCCCTGCTCAAAGCAGGACCAATCCCCAACTAAATCATCCCAGCCAGGGCTTTGTCAAGCCTGACCTTAAAAACCTCTAAGGAAGGAGATTCCACCACCTCCCTAGGTAACCCATTCCAGTGCTCCTAGTGAAAAAGTTTTTCCTAATATCCAACCTAAACCTCTCCCACTGCAACTTGAGACCATTGCTCCTTGTTCTGTCATCTGCTACCACTGAGAACAGTCTAGTTCCATCCTCTTTGGAACCCCCTTTCAGGTAGTTGAAAGCAGCTATCAAATCCCCCTTAATTCTTCTCTTCTGCAGACTAAACAATCCCAGTTCCCTCAGTCTCTCCTCATAAGTCATGTGCTCCAGCCCCCTAATAATTTTTGTTGCCCTCTGCTGGACTCTTTCCAATTTTTCCACATCCTTCTTGTAGTGTGGGGCCCAAAACTGGACACAGTACGCCAGATGAGGCCTCACCAATGTCGAATAGAGGAGAATGATCACATCCCTCTATCTGCTGGCAATGCCCCTACTTATACAGCCCAAAATGCCGTTAGCCTTCTTGGCAGCAAGGGCACACTGTTGTTTCATATCCAGCTTCTCATCCACTGTAACCCCTAGGTCCTTTTCTGCAGAATTGCTGCCTAGCCACTCGGTCCATAGTCTGTAGCAGTGAATGGGATTCTTCCGTCCTACGTGCAGGACTCTGCACTTGTCCTTGTTGAACCTCATCAGATTTCTTTTGGCCCAATCCTCTAATTTGTCTAGGTCCCTCTGTATCCTATCCCTACCCTCCAACGTATCTACCACTCCTCCCAGTTTAGTGTCAGTCATGCCTCTGCTGCCACAGCCAGTGCTACCGCAGCAACACTGCTATTTATACTCATGCTAGCTCTCATCGAGGTAGCGCGAGTACGTGTACATGAGCAGGGGAACCAAACCCCTAGCTCATAGTGTAGATGTAGTGTAGGTAGTAGGGGACTCATTTGCAGAGGTGCAGAGCGCTCCACAGCTCCACTGATCTTAATGGACGCTCAGCATCCTTGAAAATCAGACCTTGTGCTCTTCTACTTGATCACAGATGAAGGATAAATAGACCTGTGATTGTGATGTCTTAGGGCACGTCTTCACTACCCACCGAATCGGCGGGTAGCAATCGATCTATTGGGGATCGACTTATAGCGTCTAGTGAAGACGCGATAAAATCGATCCCCGATGGCTCTTCCGTCGACTCCGGAAATCCACCGCGGCAAGAGGTGGAAGCGGAGTCGACGGCGGCCCGGCAGCGGTCAACTCACCGCCGTCCTCACAGCCAGGTAAGTCGACCTAAAATACGCAACTTCAGCTACGCTATTCACGTAGCTGAAGTTGCGTATCTTAGGTCGACCCCCCCTGTAGTGTAGACCTAGCCTTACTAACCCCAAAACACAAACCTTAAACACTGTGTGTTAAGAATTGGTGGCCCATTCCAATTATTACAAATACATCGTTGGTCTGTAGCTATGAGGTATTAATTCAAAGGAACAAGATTTCTCTTGTTCAGACATGGGCATATTTGTGGATGATCTTACGTCAAACCACCGTAAGCAATTAATTAACCAGCAATATTGATAGCTCACCGTTCATAATATATCTGTAATTTCTGGACTTTCTTAAAATTAATCATGGCTTTTAAAAATATTAATATGCAAATGGTACACATCAATCTGTGTTAACTGCTGAGAAAGTTGTCTATTCCTTTTGCTCAGAGCAAATGTTATTGTTACATAACTGCTTACTGCTTTAAGTGCTTTTCTTATAGTAAAGTAAACAAGAAATAACAGTTTGCTCCAATGCATGCCTAGGAGTCTATTTTCACTATTAAATGTAAAATCCGGTTGTTACCATGGCAGGATATACAATTTGTTTCGGTGGACTGCTCTACTGGAAATCACTGTTTCTTGAGCTTGGAATTTATGAAATTTTAATAATCACTTAGTTTGGCTGCATTTTAGCACTGTAGAAGTGTCCTCCGCTCCCCTCGTCTCCCATTCACTGCAGGAAACAGAACTCTTTTCAGAGAACAGAGGATGTAATATTGGAAAAGAACTACCTGAGTAATGATTAGATTCTTCGCTGAACCCATCTCCTGCCATCTTCGCCTCAAGGAATCTGGGGCTAGATTTTCAGAAAGTTTAGGTGCACAATTGCATGTGCAAAATGTATGCTCTATTATTTACCTGATTTGTACGTGCAGTTGCCATGACTATGCAAAAAATTGGATAGTTGCATGAGCATATAGCTAATAGGATGTATTTGCATGTGTTATTTTCATCTTTTATGTGAGCAATGTCAATACATGTGCATACAAACTAGGTGTGCAGTTACAAGTATAATTGCCCACTTAAACTGTCTGAAAATCCCTGCAAATGGATAATAATCCCTATATGTTAATTCTGGCCTTTCATTGCTAAAATTAGCAAATAACCTACTCCACTCTTTTCATAGACTCATAGATTTTAAGGCTAGAAGGGACCATCTTGATCATCTACTCTGACTTCCTGCATACTGCAGGCCACAGAACCTCACCCACCCACTCCTGAAGTAGGCACATAACCTTTTGCTAAGTTACCGAAGTCCTCAAATAATGATTTACAGACTTCAAGTTACAGAGAATCCACCACTTACTCTCATTCAAACCAGCAAATGATTTGTGCCCCACACTGAAGAGGAAGGCGAAAAGCCCCTAGGATTTCTTCCAATCTGACATGGGGGAAAATTCCTTCCCAACACCAAATATGGCGATCAGCTAGACTCTGAGCATGTGGGCGAGACCCAGCAGTCGGACACCTGGGAAAGAATTCTCTATAGTAACTCTGAGCCCTCCCCTCTAGTGTCCCATCTCCAGCTATTTGCTAATAGCAGTCACGGATTGCCTACAATGGCCTGTGACCCATCTCATCAAAACATCCCCTCCATAAACTTATCAAGCTCAGTCTTAAAACAAGTAATGTTTTTTGTGCCCTTTACTTCTCTTGGAAGGCTGTTACAGAACTTTACTCCTCTAATGTCAAGCCTAAATTTATTGATGACCAATTTATATCCATTTGTTCTTGTGCCAACACTGGCCCTTAAATAACTATTCTCCCTTCCGGGTGTTTATCCCTCTGAGGTATTTTTAGAGAGCTATTCTATCTTCCCATAGCCTTCATTTTGTTAAGCCTAACAGATAAGCTCATTGAGTCTCCTCTCATAAGGTAAGTTTTCTATTCCTCTAATCATCTTTACTACCCTTTCTCTGCACCTGTTGCAGTTTCAATTAATCTTTCTTAAACATGGGAAACCAGAATTGCACACAGTATTCCAGATGAGATTTCTTCTTGTATAATGGTAATAACACTTCCTTATCTCTTCTGGAAATACCTCACCTGATGCATCCTAGGGCTGCATTAGCTTTTTTCACAGCCGCGTCACATTGCCAGCTCATAGTCATGCTGTGATTGACTAATACACCCAGGTCTTTCCTCTCCTCTGTCACTTCCAAATTCTTGTTGTTAGTCCCTAAGTACGTGACCTTGAATTTTGCACTGTTAAATTTCATCCCATTTCTATTACTTCAGTTTCCAAGGTCATCCAAATCTTCTTGTATGATATTCCAGTCCTCCTCCGTATTGCAATACCTTCCAATTTTGTGTCATCTGCAAATTTTATTTGCATCCTCCCACTTTTTTGTGTCAGCTTCATTAATGGAAATGTTAAATAAGATTGGTCCCAAGACCATTCCTTGAGGAAGTCCACCAGTAACCTCCCTCCTGCCTGACATTTGACCTTTCAGTATGACCCATTGTAGGCTCCCCTTTAACCAGTTCCTTACTCGCCTTTCAATTGTCATACTAATCTCCATCTTCTCCAATTTAACTAATAATTTCCCATGTGGAACAGTGTCATGTATTACTGAAATCCAAGTAGATTAGATCTACTGCATTTCCTTTATTTAGAAAATCTTCTCAAAGAAAGAGATCAGGTTGGTCTGGCATTATCTATCTTTTCTAAAACCAAGATGCATTTGTATGTTGAAATGATGCAACTATTTTTCTGTCCGTGGATTCTGTCCTATCACCTGGAAAATTGAGCTTTTTGGAACTAAATTGTGTTTTGACATGAGCTGCTCCACCTTACAGCTAATGTCTCTGTGTCTTAGATAGCTACCAACAATCCACTTAGGATGGATAAAAAATGATCCAGCCAAGGATTTCTTAGGGACTGGCAGAGGTGAAAATTGGTCACTGTACTAATAACAGGTGGTAATTTTGTGATTGCCAACATGAGATAATCGGATGCTATTTGAATGCAAGGTAATGTTTTCCATCACATACATCTTTGGGATCCGGCTTTTAAAACCTGTTATAAAAAAATCAAGCTGAAGACAATTTTGAGACCTTCTTAAGTTCATATTTCCTCTGTAAAACTTCAGGGCCAGATTCTGATCTCCTTATTAAATATCACCAGACCCCCTATTGACCTCAAAGGTGCTAGTAGTTGAATAACATGGTACTCAGTGGAAGGAAGGGGAGCACAGTCTGGCCCTTAGACTTCTGCAGTGGCATGGTACAATTGCATTCTACTTCAAAATAATGACTCACTCTGTCCAGTGATCTGCTGGAACATAGCAAAACATGAGACGCCGTACATGATAAGGAAGCCAGCAGACCACAAAGGCAATCACAACAGCACCTGCAAGGTACAAACATTGCCATTATTTTTTCCTGGAAATAAAAAAAGCGATCAGTTTTTGTGCACGTTTAACACTGTTTTCTTTTAAAAGCACCAGAATGGTCCTATGTGCCATTGTGCTAATCAATAACAGCCCCAGAGGGATAACCGTGGCTTTTATCTTTATGGTAGAACAAGGGTAATGGAAATAATGGAAATTGGTTACAATCCATGGGGGAGTAGCGGGGGTATAAATAGAAGAAAAGAGGTCTAATGCATGAAAAGGCAGGAAAGGACACCTCACATTGTCTAGTTTAGACTCTGCATCAAGCAATTGATTGTATTTATATTTTATCTAACAGAAATAACCATAGCACTTTTTCCATCCAGTGGCACATAGAATAAGGAATACTACGACCTCAGTAGTTCATAGCACATACCTGTGTCCCACGTGTATAAAGCCATTGAATTACCAGGAGTCCCATTGTGTTACTGATCATCAAATGATTTCTAAGGATGATTTAGCTCTTTGGGGCAGGACTCATCTTTTTGTTCTGGTAGGACAGTACCTAGGGGTCCTGGTGCATGACTGGTGGTGCATGGCCACAATCCAGATAATACATAATACTACTACTAATAAAAATCAATAATCAGGTGTATCTACCAATGGTAATGTTTTATTCCCGAGGGACACCTTTTCAGCAGGAGTTTGCAACACACCAGTCACCACACACTCCATTAGATTTGTCGAAGTAGAAACTTTGACAGTTCTGCTGGAAACCTTGTGACATGAATGCAGTGGCATAGGTGGAGTCTTTTTCTGATGCGCACAGAAGTCCATTTTAAAATGGGATCCTTCAATATGATATTGCAGCAGGAATAAAAATGTTATTCCAGATCCACTTATTGACTGAGGGAGTTCTATGGGTGTGGCCCTAACAGCATCCCAGTGCAAGAGGCTCATTGGTAGGCAGTTCCAGCTGGCCTGACCAGTTCAGTGTACCCCAGTTCATTAATGTCATAAACTGTATCTGATGTGTCATATAAGTTATCATTGGAAAACTAATCACACTGATCATTAATATTCTTGCACGGTGTATGTACTGTAAATGCCCAAGGGCCCATACAAAGGAAGGAAGGAAATGTGAAACTAAAACATGTTTATCAGACAAGTCTGGGGAGTGGGGAAACAGGTTTCTCCCAGACAAAGGACAAGCCTATGCCTCCAGCCAGCCATCATCAGAGTGGATTAGCAATCACATGGCAAGTGGCCATTTATTTGCATCTGAGAGGGCAGGAACAGATCAATTTACATTTTAGCAAACACCAGCATGGAATAAACCAGCACAGAACTTCCTTCCCCACCCCACTCCACTTCTCCTTCCTGGCAGCTGGAATGACCTTTATTTGGGGGGGGGGGGACCTTCGGAAGAATTTATTTCAAAGGTTCACTGAACTATACAAGAGAGAGACAAAGAACCCCAAGTTATCGTTCACCTTGTGGAAGGTCCTAATTGAGACACAGTCAGCCAGGCTGGACAAAGAGTGATTGGTGAGAGAAACCATAGTAAACAAAGGCTGTACCTTGCTAGATTAAGTTTTAGATTTTGATGCATGTTCTTCACTTTTATTTGCTTGTAACTACCCCCACCTTTATTTCTTTTACTTGGCATCACTTAACCTATGTCCTATTGTTAATAAACTTGCTTTGTTTTAATCTAAACTAATCCAGTGCTGTATTTGAATTGAAGTGATTATTAATCCAGTTAATGAGGCAAGCTGCTGGGTATTGACTCTTTAAAAAGCAAACAAACCTTATTATTCCTCTGAATGGCTCAGGACTGGGCTGGACATTGCAGTTTGGGGGAAATTTGGGCCTGGGGGTGTGTTGGAGTCACTTGGCTAGTAGTAACCATTGCTGGTAGATACCAGAGTGGGGCTAGGGCTGCTGGAATAAGAGCGCTGAGTCAGAGCTGCTTAATACACAAACACTCAGTGCTCACTTATTTGCTGGCTGTCAGCGTCCAGGCTGTGAGCCACAGCCGCAGAACATTTAAGGCACCCAGAGTCACAGGGCCGGCAGGGACACAACCCCTCGCTGGTCTGGATCGCACCCAGAATGCGACAATAGTATATTGCATTTGTCTGATATTCAAGAAAATGCCTCTAGCTCAGAGGGAAATCCCAGTGTGGCGTTTAGAACCTCTCCAGCAACATCTCTACTTAGAAGGATGAAAGTATGTGTGAAAAGCCAGGGGCGCTCTACAATCAGAATGTGTTTCATTATATGGTGATCTAGGGATAATTCCCAGATAAACCAAAAAAAACTTCCATCAAGGGACACAATTAAGGCTGCAAATTACTTAAAAAAAAAAAACAAGTTTAATAGAATTTTAGGGCCTAGGCCTCCCCTCACTTTAACTGAATTACCCTTGATTTACACTGGTAAGTGGGGACTAGAATCATGTTCTTGGAAGTTTTCCAAAATAAAGCAATCAGACCCTCCTGAAATTCATGAAAATTGCAATTCAGATTCCACCAGTAGCCCTGACTGTGTTCCCCAAACCAATTAAAAATGCTTCCATTTAGACCTGAGCCAAACCCCACTGAAATCAATGGGAGTCTTTCAATTGACTTTGATGGGGCTTGAATCAAGCCCTTTATCACGTCTGAAATTATTTCTTGACATCAACCCAGGACCTTGGTAGCTAGGTATTTTGTTTTGCGAGGCACAGAGCTATGGCTAGCAGTCAGTCAGAATCGTGGACGATAAAGCCCAGCTGGTGGGTGCCTTTGTTAATCTAGATTTTTTTTAAAATCAGGGAATCAAGGGAAAGATTCTTTTCTTACAATGCATATTTCCAGCGCTGTAAGAAATGACAGGCGTCTGGCAGAATCCCAGTAGGAAACCTCAGTCAAAACAGCACAAAATAACAGCCATGGAAAAAAATCAGAGATAAATATAACCATCATATTGCTTTTCATCCCAAATGTGCTTTACAGATGGTAAGGGCCAAATTGTTCCTGGCCTTTATGTGGGCTCCTATGGTGATGGGAGGCAGGAAAGATCCCTTTGAGGCCTACATAACAGCCAGCTGCAATTTGCAGCCGCCGTATTCAGGGAGGCACCCCTTTTCCCTGGGTGTGAACAGTGCCCCAAAGAGTGGGAACTTGTCTCCAACCCTTCCCTCTTCACCAACAGGGCTGGTGTACAGAGGTGACTATGCTGTGCCTCATGAGGGGGCATAGCCGCAGGCATGTTCCTCCTAGGGAATGGAGCGCTTGAGGAGGATTCTGACTTCCGAATACTGATTAATCCTCCAGAAGTTCCCCCACTCTATTACCCCATACTATGGGCCTATACCGAGAGGCCGAATTCGTCCTTCAGTAACTAACTGTCCTCATGCTCCTGTGGAGCAAGCAAGAAAGCAATCGTATCTCCATTTTGTGGGTGGATACAATGAGGCAAGAATGACTTGCCCAAAGCCACCCAGGGAGTCGGCATCTGAGCTGGTATCAGAACCCAAGAGCACCTGGCTCCCAGTCCTGTACTCGGAGCATTGTACCATGATCAGTGCCAGCTGTAACAGGACTGTACTAGGAAGGAGTAGGGGAGAGAAGCATCGCCAGAAGGGGAGGTCAGGCCATGGCATCCTTGTGTGAGGCTCCCACGCAGCCTGTTCTGTTGGCTGTGCCTATGGACAGCCATGTCAGCCAATGGACAGTCTAAGGAAACAGAGGAAAGTTCATACAGTGTAAACTGAGTTAGACAAGCCCAAGAGCCCCCGTTTAAGATGAGACTGAAAAGTTGAGAGTTCAGACATTAGCCAGAACTTTGTTCCACTGGGTTTGAGCCATAGGCGCCGACTTCCCCTCTAGCCGGTATGTGTGTGTGTGTGTGTGTGCTCGGCCTCCCTGCTCCGCCCCAGACCCCGCACCCACTCCTATCCTTCCCCCAAGTCCCTGCCCCGCTCCGCCTCCCGCTCGGTGCGCACCCTGTCCCTGCTGATCCCCCTCCCTCCCGGAGCTTCCTACACACCGTGAAACAGCTGAGAGGCGCTGGGGGGCGGGGGAGCTTGGTTGTTGGTGGGTGCTGCTGAGCAGCACCCGCTAATTTTTCTCTGTGGGTGCTCCAGCCCTGGAGCACCCACGGAGTCGGCGCCTATGGTTTGAGCTGGGGATAAGTTGGCCCTCAACTCTCCCCTCAGCATATGCGCAACTGGCCTCAGGTGGCACGTGACCAGGATTCATCACCGAATTTGGTGCAATGAGTGGATCATTCACTTCCCCTGCCCAGGACGGGTACTGACGGGGAGCACGACATGAACGCTGATCCACCCCCTAACCTCCCCGCTCTCGACTATGATCTGGCATCAAGGCCCAGAGGAGATGATGTGCGTTGGTTGGAGGCATCTGATTTTCTTAATTAAAAGTACAGCACTGAGGCTGCCTGGAAGAGGGGTACATTTGCAGAGGCTAGCAGTATTCCCCTGAGGTATTTGAAGACCTTTCACAGATGCTGCAAAAGCCATTAATTTTGATAAGATTTTTGGGAAAGGTAGGGGGTATGTTCCTGAGAGAAAGCTAGAGGATCTGTTATTGCTCTTTCAGCTGAATGAATTCATTATTTCAGTGTGATTATTTTTTGGCTGCTGTGTGGTCACTGTTTGCAATTGTAGCTCTAATTCACTGTTAGGGCACCTAAAGCTTTGTGATTTAAATCGAAAGAAATAATAAAATTAATACATCCAATGAGGGCCTGATCCTGTCATTTACTTTGGTGGCTGCAGACGCAGACCTCAAATGAGATGAGATGAGGGAGAAGTGGAGCACTCTAGCATCTTTTTTAAAACCATCGTCACAGTCTTCAAGAGGGTGTGAAGTCATTTCTTCACAGGGGGAGGCAACAGGTGTCAGTTCCTCTCAGCCACCCTGCCTGGGAACATTGCAGGACACACAAGAAAAGGATGTTTGAATAGCTGCAAAGTTCAGAGTGACACTCCCAGGGAATTCACAGGAGG